GGCGCCCAAGTTTTCCATGCACACGCACGCAGGTTCTCCCACTGTCTCCAAGAACCCCACCCACTTGCTCTGCTACACTCTCTTATATATGCAGGCCCAAATGACCTTACTACGTCACGCCCACCTCCTCGCTTTTATAACATTGCAAAAGCTTTTCTATAAAGCCGGCAAAAACTCCCAAAAGCGGTGTCTCCTTTTCCGCGTTCATTCCTTTTACGGAAAAACCCTTCTCCTGTCGCAAGGCTAATCCTGCCAAGCACCCCAATATACGATGCACACGAGACACGCTGGCTAATACGTTACAGAATACTAGCGGGCACCAATCTGCGAGTGCCTGTGCCCGCGCTAGTACTAACGGCGCCAATCAGAATGTGACAATGCTCACGCTAGGACTACAAATGGCGTCAATAATCATTAGAACAATGTTGTCAGTGAGTTACGAACTGCGTAGAGAACGTGAGTGTCAATCCTTTGGTTGCCGATGTTGGTGAGGGGGAGAGCAGCAGCACATCGTCCCTCACACCCACACACCAGACGTCACGCATGTGGAGCTGCAAGAGGAACGGGGGCGTTGTCGGAAACGGAGGCGGCGAAGGACGAGCATGAGGCAGCAATTATTCACATGCGGTTGGTCTTCTTGCTCCTCCTGCTCTGGGATCGTCGTCAGGCGAAGGCGAACGGGAAGGTTGGTCGGAGCGATGCGGAATTGTTGAGAGGTGCATAAGCGTCTTATACTACGGAATTTCAATTGTTTTCGATATAATAATTTATCTGCTTCGTATTTGTAGAGACCATTACGTATATACCAGTCGATCTGATCTTCTCATTCCTCGATTGCTGTTAATCAGCACATTCAAAGGCTCTTCGAAGCGTGTACTTTTGAATCTACTCTTTTCTGGCATTGTCACTGTCGTTCGTCTCTTCTAAAAATTCGACATATGTATCATCGTGAGTAACAGTTGCTATTCCTTTGTGTTATTTATTGTATTGCTCGTTTTTCATTTTGTAATGGAAATTCTTGCTCTTCGTTTGCGTCGCATATTTCATCCTCCAATTGTCCTTTTTTTTATAGCTGGGAGAGATATTGCTTTCTCCTCCCACAAATGAATAAATCACACTCTTAACAAAAGAATATTACCTCATTTCGATGACGTAATTAGAGAATTTATAAAACAATCGTATGGATACTGGATATGTATCAAGTAGAAAACAGGAAAATATTGAGATTGGTGCTGCAGCCAGATTCGTAGAGAGAGTAGAGAGATTTGAGACTGCAAAATCGGTTAAAAGAACTTCGTCAACTTCAGGTATCTCATTATATTTTTGAATAATTTCATCATCATTCTGAGTTCGCCTGGAACTAGCCAGTTGATGTAATTCAAGGTGTTCATTGTTGTTATCCACCTATATCTTGACAAGGCTTTGGCAACTTGCTTCGTACCAGTTGCCTCTTCTGGTTTTATACAAATATGCCTCTAATCTATTTCTATTATCCTCTATGACCAGACAACTGCGATGTAATGATTGGGTCATTTAGTTTTGTCATGCGATAGTGTAGGAGCTCGGAAAAAGCTGTGTAGGTGGTATGTGGAATAAATACATTGAATTCAATAAAATATATTTTACAGTTTTCAAGTTTTAAAATTTAAAAAAATAAATCACCACTATGATCCACTCTTTAGTATCAAAACCAATATTTTGTTTTTGGTTTTTTGTACGTTTGCACCTCCCAAAATTTAAATATCGGTTTCAAACTCAAAGGTCCGCAATATCTGACAGATTGGTTAAGGAATATCAATTTTGGACAAAATTGGCTTAGCGGTTTGCCGCGTGCGTTGTTGATTGAGGGCTAGATACACAAAGCGGATTCTGGCCACCCCACGGCCTACAATATTTTTCCCCTAAATTTAGCAACCAGATTTATCCATGTTTTGGTAATCAGAGTCCTCTAATAAGAGTTTTTTCTGCCAAATATTAACCGTTTTTCGCGCAACATTACAACACTTTCTCTATACTCCGTTGCGAGCAAGTAATATGGCATTAAAATATAGTGTATATAATCAAAACAAAAATAGATGTTGAATTAACTCCATTGGGCGTTGATTATTAGTAGAATATCCACGTGCTACTAGACTTTCGGATCTTTTCGGACTTTTATTATAAAATTCTCTTCAGCATCTATTAAAAATTCGTTCTGGTGGGCTGGATGAACACTGCAAGATAACTGTTAAGAGTCAGGAGAAGTGTCAGCTTACTTGTAGGGCGGCGCCGCAAGGGGACCACAACCACCTGACATAAGACATTACTCTAACGGGACTAACGACGGAAGCGTAGCGCAGCATAGTTCTTGTATGCTACTGCTGTTCTGCTGATAAGTCAGAAGCGTATATTTGCTGGATATATTTGTAAGCTAAAGTCTCATTGGTCACTTTCCTCCGAGCTTAGGCGGTTTTAATTCAGAATAATTTAATATTTTAGTCCTAGTGTCAGTAAATCATAATTGTGTAGTTGAAAATTTTGTTACAATGTAACGGGGACAATCTGTACACTGCAAATGTACATTAAAACTGAACACGTTCATAGCATCAGAAACTATAGGACATTTCTCTTTATTTTGAACATTGTACACGCTATATTGTACAAGTACGACTCTTGTTTGTTTAGTTGCTATAATTATTACTCTACTAATTCAGTTTCTTTCCTTTGGCGCTGGGAGTAGGCATTTCACTGGGGTTATACTTCTTGGCCAGATTGCGCCAAAACGTGATTCTTCTACCTAGCAATTTGTCTTTGGCACTTAGTTCTTGGTCCATATCTAGGTAGCTCTCCTTTTCGAGTGTATACAGTGGCCATTGGACCAAACCACTGCCATCCGGAGTCGGGTACCTGCAAGAAAAACAAGAGGAGTAGTTACGATAATGAAACAGGTCTTTACTATTAAATTGTATTAAGGGCAGTTATTCATGCTCTTTCTATTTTGACAATGTTCTATCTTTCTTTAATCTCAACGAAAATCATGTAATTATGGAACTAATGTAAAAGTATGTCAAATTATTAGATACATATTTTTATTTTGTTGTATGGTCCCTGCGGCGGATTGAGAGTTGTTTCATGGAATTATTTTTTTTATTTGCGGCCGAACTGGCTAGAGCGTGTGCCGAATCAACGACTCGATCCAAAGGGTCGCGTATTCCAGTCTCGCCATAGCCCTGTTGGTGTGTTCCTTGTTTTTCATGTATGTGTGTTGTCGCGGGACATCTCTGCTAAGACTGCTGAATACAGGTCGAGGAGCCGGAATTTAGAAAATTATTAGAACAATTCATTTCCCCCAATTTAAGACAAAAATAAACGTTTTAGTATGAAATACAGTGATACTGTGATCAAATATTATTTTCCTGTAAATTTGAACTATGCGAGTTTAGACGTGATACATTTATGGTATTGTATCATTAAATGTGTACAGTAAATACTAATATATTGATAATGTTAGGTGTAACAAATAAATCGGCATATTTACATGACTGTACTAATGACAAACGTATCATTCCAGAATTCATCCGACTATTGTTATTGGCCTAAAGGTATTCTCGAATTAAAATAATTGATCGACCGGGGTGACGATGAGGGGTCCTGTACGGTTGCAACACACATTATAGGATAATACGTGTTAAAAATTACTAAATTATTTTACTAATCTCGAAAGTCGAAGCCTCCAGCCAACACAAAACTACATATTATCCGCGCATGTTTTCTTGAGTTTTGGTTATTTTGACGAAAGGAATTTTTCATCAAATTTGTTGTTTTTTTCGATCCAAATAGTTTCTATTACACGGGGGCAAACATTCTGGTTATCAGATTTTTGCCTACAACGTTCGTTGCTATCATTTATTCTTAATTCAACTAATGTTGGAAAGGAGTTGGGGTATGTATTCCGCTCAAGAAAACGTGCGCGTTTAATAGCGAAATGTAAACTGTGGTATAGTGATGTTAGATTTGGTGGTACCATGTAAACAGACATTCATGACTGACTGGAATTCGGAACTACACACAATGTCTTTTACTTGCCTTATGAACTTTCTGTCAAAAGTGTGATTCTTGTGTATCACATACCTGCTACACGATTTTAGTCACCGTGCAATAGCTAGAGTCCACTTTATCCTGCTAAAATCCGAAGGAAGGATTAAAGCTGTTTGTACTTCAAACAATATTTTGGATAATGAAAACAATAACTGGCTAATTCAAAAATTTGCACTTAATCCATAACATTTTCATTTATTAAGAAAAATTATGAAATTTGTATGAGAAAAATTGCATTTCATAAGATGTATTATTAGAAATAATAATGCACACAAAATATATTCGTGTCATGCTATGGATCTTAGTTTTCATAGTACGCAATGGTATTCATATCAATAAATTTAGTATCTTCATTGATTAATAATGATTTGTCTGTATCCACGCAAACCACTTTCATGACCTTTATTGAAAACGAGAAGGTAGAAATATGTATGTTCGTGACTCCACGTACCCTAATTTGGCAAAATTTGCGAATATCTTCTGCTGGCGTTTCTCGCAGAGGCAACCTCTGAAGAGGGCACGGAGAAAAGGGCTCATTGCAGGCCTGATTTCATGAAGTCGCAAGAGCGTAAGCCATATTCAGTCGCATGCGTCACAACCCGGAATGTGGGCGGGCAACCCATGTTCTTGCTTTGATGATACCCAGCGGTCCATCACGCAGAAAACTGGTAACACATAACACAGATCCTCGTTCTTTGTCAACAGTTCTGCTGGTTTTTGAAATACCCACAGCCATGTATTATGTCATACACATCTGCCAAAAAAAAAGCAATACTCATTAGATAAAATAAATGTATCGCAATGAATAAATATTAGTAAAAATTTTTTCTCCTTTTTCATTTGCCGTAATATTTAGTAGCGTTAGTAATTCACAGTTAATGCCACATTTTTTAATTCATTACATAATAATAATAATAATAATAATAATTAATAATAATAATAATTATTTAGCGCGAACGTGGAGAGTCAATCATTTAAGTTACCTTGACAGATGTGTGTGAACGTAATTTTTTAAACTGTTAACATATTGATAGACCTTTAGTGTCCTCTATTCCATCAGCTACAAAATTACTGCGTTATGGCATTCAGGGAAAATGCATATGACTTTTTTTATTGTGTTCATTTGAGCCGTACCTTCTGAACCGTTCCGACGGTGTCCGACGCTGTCTGGCGCGTGCCTCAAGGAGCGGTCCCCGAGGTAGAAAGAGCGCACTTCTCGCGTGGCCTCGGCGTGACGCAGCCCTGCGGCATGTCCCAGCGGAAAGCGATGCGACGAGAAGCGCGAGTCCACCTCCCCCCAGCCGGAGACGGCTCTTGGTTCCGGGAGCCAGCTTGCCGACTGCTCGCAAAATGTTCAACGTGTGAGAACGGCAATAATATGCTGGATGCGGGTAGTTTCCTAAAAATGCGAAGTAAATAACTAGAAATTTAAAGTAAATTGGTCTCCAAGAACAGAAGCGAAACGTGCCGGAAAGTGTTCTCAAGCGCATCCGAGAAAGAAGCGGATGCACTATTAGCGAAAGAAAGGGAAAACATAATACCAAAAGTAAAGACTTGGAATTAGTACTTACTTCTTAGCACTTTTTAACAGAAAAATGATAAATACAAATGGCAAATGAGGGTTAGTAGTGCTGGCAACGCTCCGGACGTTTCGCGCCCAAAAAGTTCCCCAAAATGGTTTACATAATGGGTAGTACTGTCAACTGCTTTTTATAAAGTAAGTCATTCACAAAATGTTCATGGAATACTGGCCTAGTGTCAGTCAGTGGCTCAACTAGCCCTTCCGGAGTCCCGGTTGCAGAAGTAAATTCAGGTCCCCTCAAAAAGTTTATTCTCACTAAAAAAAATCGGGATGAAAACTTAATATTTTGAAATAATTAGAATGTGATTGACATTTCGGTGTGGAGAGGGGGAGCGTTGCCGCATACCAAGCGCTGTACCACGTGCTCTCAACACAAAGTAGGCAAAGAGAAGAAAGGAATGTTGAGATACTCGTAACAAGCTGGCTTTTTACATTTGTTTGTAACATTTATCTCTACTTTAGATGATCTCAATGGGCACATGTCGAAGATTCTGGTGTGATGTTCCGCAAGATACGGAGCTGGCGCCATCACGTGACCACGAAATGCCAATCATATTCTTATTTTATTCTGACCTCAATTGAAAGAATACTTATTGATAATAACCAATCACAAAAGTCGGAATCCAGCCCTACGAAATTTTGCTTTGATGAATGTTTCTATAAAGTCGCCCAGGTTTAGTTTTGACAAGTTCGTCACTTTAATCTGTATGGGTAATACACAAAAGTCCAATAGCCTCTCCTGTGCGTTCAAATTTCGTGGGTAATTTTCAATATCTTTCAATTTTATACTAGTGGTGCTACAACAAATCATACTTTCTCGCATTGTTTAAATGTGCAGTTTTCGGAAATTCAGAGTTCAATGGAAATGGAACCGACGCCATTCTTTTAAGCGTTTCTTCTTCTATACATGAAAAAAAATAAAGAAAAAATTGGATCGGTTTTTGATATTATTTTTAGAAATTGCACAAATTTGAAGCGCAACTTACCAAAATAGTACTTTTTTTGTCAAAATATTGTACATGAGCTTTTTTAAAGAGCTGATTTTTCACAAGAGATATTTTTTGAGGTACAAATCGTCCATTTTGTAGTTTAGAGCTGTTAGCTTTTTGGAATATTAAAAAAACGGAGAGATGGGCAAAAATGAGACTAGCGCCGTATTTTTTAGCGTCTTTAATTACACATGAGAAAATTTACAGAAAAATATTTGGAGCGATTGTTGAGAAGAAATTGTTAAATTTTTAACTGCCTACAATTCGCGCAAAATTACACAAAAAAACTTATATTTTCGAAAAATTGAACACGAACGTATTTGAAGATTCGTTTTTAGAAACAGATTTCATTAAAAAATCTCTATCTTCAATTTCATAATTGTATGAAGACGCCCCCCAAAACGTGAGTTTTAACGACGTACCCTTGTGAGAAAGGAAAGTTATCTAGTCCTGCACAGAAAAACGGCGAATTTTCGGTGGAAAATACTCAAAATTATTTAATGAGAAATATGGAGATTACTGAGCAGACGTTTGGAAAGCCAGCTGATAGAGTGAATTACTCAATAAGGTGTAATTAGCCAATACTCCGATTGAATGAATCTTCGAAATTCGATCTCTCAGATAACTACACAAGGATAATAGCTGGGATCTATTACATTGTCACAGATTTCTGGCTGAAATTTGCCTATTGATTCGCAAGTTCATCGTCGGAGAGCTGCAACAAAGTTTGTGGTTGAATGATCACAAACGAATCGAATATTATTTGAATCAAACCAATGAATCAATGGCCCACCTGACTAATCACAATATCTAAACAAGCGGAGTAAACATTAACTTTGATTCATTTTACGCCGTTATATAAACGTTGAAATTTGCACAGCTCATCGAAATGACGTTTCGTCTCAACTTTTCGTTTACACGTTCCTCTCAAAACTCAACTCAATATCCCTAAGACATCAAATGATGCTCTGAGACCCCCTACGCTGGTTGAAGATTATATATTTTTGAAGAAACTGCAGGAACTACATAGCATATGGAGGTACAAGGCCTGTTGCCATAAAAATCCGATGAGCTGAAGAAGAGTTACGTACACCAGAGGTAGAGGAGTCCCTCGCCGGTAGTGAAACCAGTCAAGTAAGGTACTCGAGCCACGCGACCTTCCTCCATAAGCTTCACTGGATCAGCGGTGAGGAAAGGAGCACTGCCTGCTGCAGGAGCCTCGATGGACGGCAAACACGTCATTTTCAGGAAGTAATTCTGATACTGCAAATGAAGGTGATGGAGAAAGATATTATTGTCGCTGCATTCCAAATTTTGTTAATAATATTCACATATAGGAAAGATTTCCATTGTCACAGTGTTTGTATTATTTCTGCATTTTTTGTTATCAGCTTACTTTGAAGAGGAATTCGTAAACTAATTAAATACAAGTTTCCATACAATGGTCAAAAAATGTTATTTTTCATGTACGAGTATTTCTGCAATTATCAACATTACATTGAAATATGAAACCTTCGTGTTCTCGTAAGAATATTTATACACTTGTTCCTTTCCTTCATAGTATCTCAAAGTATTGGGGAGCAAAATTGTGTAAAAAGAGACTCGACAAGGTATGCAATTGCTTATAACATTACAATAGTACGAGTATTAATTATTAATATAAATTATATTTAAATTAATAATTAATACTCGTTTAATTATTAATTACTCAAATTTACTCCAATTTTAATTATTTTGAAATTTTTTCATTATCGTTGGCATTATGTTAACATGAGGTGTATTCTTGGTGTTACTCAACTTAGAAGGAATTTAGATGAAAGGTATACATGTACGACATTTATTTATTCCTTGATATTAAACGAAAAACACACTTTTAATCAACTTGAAGTTTATTATATCCGTCTCTAACATGGTAGAGATAGCATATGGCGCTATGTCAACATAAAACAAAAATTAATTTATATCGCGTCATTTTAATTGTATAATCTCTGATCTAAATAATATTATCATGGAAGAAAAGGTGGTAAGATGGAAAATAGTTGATTATTTTTATAGCAAACCGGTGCGCAAACCAGGTACAAACATTGGCACATCGTCACGAACATTACTCTTTGCGTTGCGCGGTCGGGTTAAAAATTCTAAACAACTCGTCTATGACATGCTATTGGGTCAATCCATTTTAAATGGTCCAGCCCTGGTCGCTCGACGATCTCGAAAAAAAATATTTTGTTCATAAATTGTTTTATTGTTGTTTGTATTATTATATGTTGTATGTATATTTTGTTCATAAATTGTTATATGTTTGTATTTGTTTGTTTCCTTGTTTTGGTTGTTCAAAAACCTCTTTAATTTATTTTTACTGTATGTAGATTACAAATGGCGACCCTTTTGTTTTACTCCGTGCGCTATTTTTCGCGTTTGTAGACATTTTCTCTTTTCTAAATTATCCAGCTCTGAGTAGAAGAATTCAGCTGAAAGCTGAATAATTTAGAAAACGGTAAATGTCTACAAACACGAAAAATGGCGCACGGCGTAAAACAAAAATAGTTGCCATTTGTAAACCAGATACAGAAATATTAAATTAAAGAGCTTTTTAAGCAGCCAAAACATAGGGAAACGTATGTTCAAAATATGATTATTTTTCGAAATGGACGAGCGACAATTTATTAAATTCTGGATCACTTAAAACGATTGACTACTGCAAGAAGATGCAAAAAAAGTTTTAAGGTGTTTGAGAGTTTGATAGTGTAAAGGAAAAAGTGTTTCCACGCCCTAAGGGCTCTATCGCAAATCCCAAAGGATTTGATTTGAATTATTGAGTCAGAAACCAGTAAAAACTCTATGTGATGTACGAGGTAGACCACCATTTTCTTGAATTCCAGAATCCCTTCCCAACATTTTAACCATAAATAGTTGAAAGA